CTATTACAAGTTTTGAGGCAGATGGCTTTATTGAATAGGATTTGGTAGGGATTGGTGCAGTGTAGATAGTTTCACTTTAACCCCTTCACCATTAACAAATAAAACTCATCAAAATTTATGCTACTGAAATATAAAAATAATTCAATATTCTGAATGAAGTTGGTTACATTATTAACGAGCAGAAATTAAATTAAAAATAAGTGATTAAATTTACAAATTTAAAAAAAAAAACTAAATAAAAAGCTATGATAAATATGAATGATTATTCATATAATTTACACTTTACAGTATTTACCCGCACTCTCAACGAGTTACATACATTTCCATCAGAACACAAGTTCCGTAATGACCGGCAAGCTTGCTTGTTTGCGTTTTCAAGTCTAAATCTGATATCTCTTTCTAAGACAAGTCCACCATAGCCCTGGTGGGCCAACGTTTTTGACTTGGTAGCTTAATTGCTATGTGGCACGGCTCGACCCAACGGCCCCTTTTCCAGTTCCCTCGCCCCCCCAAACAAGTTGGATTTAAATTTAATACGTCAGCCTGACAAAAAAAAATTAATTTATATTTTAAAAATAAATTATTTTAATTCTTTTTAATAAAAATTTATTTAAATTACATAATTTTAAAATGATTTATTATTATTATTATTTATTTCAAAATAATAGATTTTTTTATTTAAAATTTATTCTCAAATAATAGTTGTATACAAAAATTGCCTCTAATCATTAAAATTCATGGGTTTTTTGCTTTTGCTTGATATTGTTTGAACTTTGAAGTCTATTTTTTTCTTTTCTTTATTTTTTTTTTGATAAAATTAAGCTTTTAAGTGATAATTGTAATGTTCTCCATCCATTGATGCATAATTGATTATAGTGAAACTTCATCTATTAATGCATAAATGGTAGACATGACTTTCATATCATGTAAAGATTAAATATATAAATTTTAATACAAAACTTATATTAAATTTAAAATTAATTAACAAATAAAATAATTTTTTTATATTTAATTCACATATTTATTTATTATATTTTCAACATAAAATTTTTAATTCATCATATATTGTAATTTTTATTCAACGAAATTGACATCCTTGAAATTTCAACAAAATTGTTACGACATCTCTTACGTACGCCTTATTCCCTTGACACTTTCAAGCAAAAAAATTTCTTTGCAGTCACGCGGTTTGCCATCAATTATTCTTCTTTGAATTTCTTTGCAAAATAGTTATTGACTTGTAATTTTAGAAGCTCTTTTTTTTTTTTACCTCCTGAAAGTTCAGATTCTTTTCCTAAAAATAAATGGAATATATCAAGAGATAACATATTAATATTTATTAGTTGAATTTATAAAAAATTAGATAAAAAAATATTCTAAAATTACATTATTTTAATAAAACATCAAAAAAAAAAAACTAAAACTAAAACAATATCATTATTGTTTTAAAAGATAGGTTATCTTGATATTTTTTAATAAAAATTTATTAAACCAATATAATTTTAAAAATATTTTTCTTCTTCCTCTTCTTCCTTCTTTTTTGTTTTTTTTTTGTAAATATGCTTGATAAACTTTTTTTTCGACGTATTAATGAATTGTTTACTTGCCTTTACATATTAATCTTGACATCTCTGATCTTATGAACAAACAATTCGAGGGAACCATGCTTCCAGAGAACCAACGCTTCAGCATTTTATTATCTGCCATCTTCATCCTTTTGAAATTGTTTCTTTTGCACTGCTATGCTGCAATTTATAATATAACTTCATCCAATCCATTATCTCAAAATGAAATCCTTATCTCCCCTACCCAAGTTTTTGAGTTAGGCCTTTTTTGTCCTGATAATACCACTAATCAGTATGTTGGTATATGGTATAAAAATATTGCCCCTCGTACAGTTGTTTGGGTGGCCAACAGAGAGAATCCAGTTATTGATTCATTGGCAAGTCTAAAGATTGGTAGTGATGGAAATCTGAAGATTGTAGATGAGAATGAAGTAACTCTCTGGTCAACCAATGTTTCTGTCCGATCAAATAGTTCAGTGGCTGTCCTTTTGGATAATGGGAACTTCGTTCTACAGGATG